AATAATAATAATAATAATAATAATATTAATAATAATAATATAATAATATAATAAATAATAACAATAATAATAATGATAATAATAATAACAATAATAACAATAATAATAATAATAATAATAATAATAATAATAATAATAATAATAACAATAATAATAATGATAATGATAATGATATTAGCAATAAAAATAACGATGAATTATAAGAGTAGTACAAACGAAAAATGATAATGATGATAATACTCACCAAGTTGTAATAAAGATAATGATAATAATAATGACAATAATGATAATGATAATAGTTATAACAACAACAACAACAACAACAACAATAATAATAATAATAATAATAACACTACTAATAATAATACCAATGATAATGATGATAATGATGATGATGATAATGATACATAATGAATGAAGGAATGAACACCTGTTCTCTTAATAATGGATTTACAAATCGATATATTACTATTACTTTTCTAATGAACAGAGGAATTTGTCATTCATTCAACTTCATTCACAATCCAGAGCGAATGAATATTGTAGATTTGATTTTATCAATGATATACAACGGAACAGAATACATGTGAAATATCTTTTGAAATATGAAGTGCAGACTATCTGACTTCCGTGAAATATTTCTCGGCCTTCCAGAACACTGATGGAGTGTTTCATAACGTTTCGTATTTATTTTTTCCAGGATTAGCAGCGTGCATTGCTTTCCCAAGTTGTCATAATTGATAGTTTAAGTATTAAGAACTTGTAGAACATTGTCTTTAATGAGAAAACTTCATCCGTAAAATGTTATGAGAAAATAAGCATGAGCGTTCAGTTGTTGGATTTCACTTTTATTAAACAATATCATTGTACTTCGTTCGTTCGCTCTTCAGACGCCTGTACGTTGGATAATATTAAAGCAAAATGTCAGAGCGAAATCAGATTTCAAGTACGAACATTTCTCGGATTCGGAAAATATGCTTGTCTGAAATGTTCCAAAAAATAGGAAAAAAGAAGCTTTACAAATTATAAAATATACCTTTTAGAACTACGCATATAGCCTGAGATTATTTTGATTTAATAGATACGTTCCTCTACAAAAGGAAGTAAAAAAATCTTTGTACTAAATCTACGTTTTTTAAAAATTTTCATCAGTGTATTTTTGACGCTTTGCAGGCATGAATAATGATAACAACTTATCTTTTCAAATTAAAAATTATCCTTTTATTAGTGTTCGCTCCCTGAACCCTTCTCCCAAAAGATAATAATAATGATGGTAATGATAACAATGCTGATAATAATGATGATGATGGTAATAATAAGAATGATAATGTTAATAGTAATAATGTTGGTAATAATGATGATAATGATAATTATTGTAATGATGATAATGATTATATCAATTACAATAATTGTAATGCTTATGATAATATCAATGGCAATTATGATAGTGATAATGATAATAATTGCTGCTAATGCTGACCATAAGGATACTGATAAAATAACAATAATAATGATAATAACGATGATAATAATAAAAACAATTGCAATGATAATGATAATATCAATGATGGTAACAGCAACAAGAACATCGATAATAAAGATGGTAATAAAGATAATAATATTGATGATAATAATAAAAATAACGATAATAATGATAATAATAACAATAATAATCATGATAATAATAACAATAATAATCATGATAATAATAACAATAATAATCATGATAATGATAACAATAATAATCATGATAATAATAACAATAATGATAATAATAACAATAATAATCTTGATGATAATAACAACAATGATAATAAAACAATAATGATAATGATAACAACATCAATAACAATTATCACCACCAACACCAATAGCAACAATGATGATAATGATAGTTATGATAATAATGGTAATAATAATAATAATAGTAACAATAGTAACACTAGCAGGAGTATGAAAGAACGAGGCGGGAGAGAATGTTCATTGGGAACAAATGAAAAAGATGAACAAAAAAGGAAAAACGCCAGATGCCCGGAGAAAGTGTGATTGTACCAGTATGAAAAAACAACAACAACAAAGGTGATACCTAAGATTCTGGGAACTCTCGGAGAATTAAATTAATGCCACATTGAAAAATTTAGAAAGAATTATTGAGATGAAAGACTAAGATGGGAAACAGAAATTGGTGAATAGCAATCTGGATCTATAACAACAGATGGAGCTTCGAGAAAATACTAGGGAAGTCTGCGAAAAAAGTGGCACATCCCGTAAGCATATTTTTAGGGAAAAAATGCGTATGGTAGAGTGCCGTGTGTATGAGAAGAAAAGTATCAGAGAAGTATAGAAGAAAAGTAAAGGCTGTAAGTGAGGTTGCGTGAACAAAGGCTAGGACTGTTCGCTATAAAGGGTTGGGCTTTATGATGGGTCTTTTTGCGTCCATACATAATTTGATATGATAATGGATATACTCAAACCGGAAATAGATAAACCAGCTCCGTGG